AAAATAATATAAATATAGGTTGGGCCACCAATCCATTGCAGGGCACACACAGACAGACAGACATACATACACTCACACCAAGGGCCAGCTTTAACAGAAGCCAATTAATCAGGATGTGTTTGGACTGGATGGGGAAACCGGAGCACCTGGAGGATACCCACACAAACACCAGGAGAGCATGCAAACTCCACACCCCAGGAATTGAACAGGGCTCCAGTGCTGTGAGTCAGTAATTCTAACCATTGTTCGATCCGTGCCGGATTCGTGCCATCCATTTTTCCAAAAATATTAAAGAGACTTTCAAACATGCAATTTCTGTTCAAATGCAGAACAAAAATGCCCATGGATTTCTTGTAATGTGGCAGAAAACAAGAAGTATTTAAATGATCAAATTTAGATAAATATATTAAAATCTGATAGAAAGGAAACAACACTGTAATGATTTATATACCTGTGCATCGGGGAAACTAGGCAATATTAAAATTTTAAATAAATTTAAAGACTTTTTTTTCTCGCCCCAAAGAGCTGTAGGTCAAAACCCAAACAAACAAGAGAAGAACATACATACTCAACATAGGAGTAATTGGAATCCCACATTGCTCAGTGCTAGGACTACTTCTATTTTTAAAAAATAAATATTAAGCCCTCAGCAACAAATTAACCAAATACTGATGATAAGTGTCTTGGGGGAATAACCACCTGTGATGCTATTAAGTGCAGAAACAACAAACAAATTCTAATTGAATGTTTCAATCACAAAGAGTACAGTATCAAAGGGTTGAATGGTCGTTCTCAGCTTCTCTACTGTATTCTGATCAGTCGTAATTTTGTCCCTAACACAACATTTTCAGCTTGAACACCACAAAATGAGTCTTGAACCTTTTGCGGCTCTTCCAACAATATTTTATACCAGATCTGATGTTTGGATTATTTAAATTTGGGGGCTATAGGAAGTGTTTGATTCCTTTGGATTTGGAGCATAAAACAATAAAGACACTGGCCTTGATTTGCCGAATGACATTCATTAACTAATGTCAAATTAAGCCTTCCAGGTTTGAATTGCTTACCAGCTTTTAACCATTTCTCTCAGGAAGAAGTGGCTCGTACACTAAAAGGATACATTTCCTTCCACTGATCAGCATTGCTTCTCTCTAGTGTCTTTCTGCAGGGGCCACATGACAATGGTATGGTGTATTCAAATAGAAGAAAACAAAAATGAAAATGTACAACGCAATTATTTGGTTAACAGACTCAGAATATTTGTAAAGAATCACTAGTGCGTTTCAGTGCTGCATTGCTTATCCAAATTCTGATTCACTGGAGCCTGAAGTCCTATATTTGCTCTCACCTTGTTATAATATTTGTCTCAAATGTTTGGACACAACAGTCACCCTAAAAGTTCACCAAACAGCACCTGCGGGGAATACCGAATTTGAAGACTAACATGGTCTGCTGGGACTATTTGATGAGACAAACAAACATTTGGGATGCTTACTGAATGCACAACCTGAAGGAAAATAAAACACAGGTTCCTTCTTTGTCTACAGTATTTCTCACAATAGGATTAGCACTCATGGGATACATGTACTGTTGTGTATTTTAATTTCCAGTATGTGGTCCATATATATGAAGCATGGTTCTGTTGTCTGAACATTTTTAATGAGAAAAGGAACGTCTACTCTCAGTGTTACAAATAATAAATAAAAAAACCATCACATTATATAATTCCAGAACTATCATTTAGTGTGTTCAGAGGGAAGTGGAGGGGTGCTGATGTAAGCCTTACACAGTGAATACCAGTCAATATCA